AATTAAGTAATATTCCTGAGATTGCAGTGAATTCAGCACGGCCATTTTTTACAATATTTTAGTCATGGAAATATGTGAGAACAAGGAACAAATATTCTTAGTTAGTCTCTAAATGTTTTAAAGGTTCTTCCAAAAAAAAAGGATTAGTAATTGTAAGAGCTTTGAAACAACAACTCACATTAGAACTCAAAATCATGAAAATTGTTCTGCTGAATCAGCTTTTGGAAAATAATCACGAATTTCTCCATATTTTCTTTTTGGAGGCTTCATTTACAATTCACTGAGATTGGGATACGAAAGCGGGACAACAGGAGTTTCAACAGTTGCAAATTGAAAAAAAAAAAACAGTTGAGAAAGGATCAAGGTATATTGTGACTGCAGCAAGTAGCAATTAACTGGTTAGTTGATGGTTATCTGTAACCGAATAGGTTTTTGTTATATTTTATATTAGATGCTAATTTCCAGACCAGTTGCTTGGCTAAAAAAACTTATAAAAATGATGATGTGACAAAGGAATTTAACAATGATACTCGTTTCTTTCTGTTTTTATGGGTTTTTCCAACGTTCTTGAGTTTTTCAAGCATCGCTATCCACTTGTGCTGAGAACTTCGATAACCAGTAACGCTAAGTAAAGATGAAGAGTGCAGTTCTTGTTTGCAAAGTAAAGGATCAGTATCCTCTCTTTGTGACTCTGATCAATTTAGATTAATTGACTAAAAAACAATGGCTTTTTCCCAACAAAAAAAATTAGAGAATGAACATTTGCGAAAGTGCAATGATTGTTGTAAAGTCGTATTTACACCTCCCGCATCAGAAGCTCCACGCCCACTTTCTCTCAACATGGGAAAAAAAATGGAAAACGAACGTGATCATCCCATCGTTGTCCTCCATCAGTTCCACACTGGCCATTGCTGAGTGCTGTCATCTTGAATGGATATAGGACTGTCACGGAGGTGGAGAGGCTTCGTGTCAGAAAGTCCCTATCTGAAAAAAAAAAACGAGAATTACGGGAGGAAGCGTAGGGAAAGTTCCATTTTTCGCAAGCGATTAGTGAGATGATGACATGCAAATAAGCGAAAGCGCTAAGCATTGGACCGGAAATATTACTGCTCCTCCACTAAATGCTCTTCTCGGAGTTCTCGCACATCGTTGCCATGAGTTCCGTCAAAAGCAAGCACACATCATATAAAGTGCAAATGAAGATAGAATCAAGCTATGTTGAAGGGAGAAACACTACACAAATGCGATGAGGCTGGATGCTCGAGCATAGGTCATATGGAGAGACGTATCGATGCTGTTCCTGCCAGATGTTGGGCCTCATCATCTGGGAGCACTACATCGGATTTGCTCGCTTCTCGGAAGTTGGCGCAGCCATAAACTCGCCTCTCATCTTTATGGTTGTCACCTGTCCCTCATCGGGCGCTTTCAATGAGCACACAGACGAAGCATTCAAAGCAAGAAATCCGAGAAGCGACTAGGTGGGCAAGAATTTTTGCCGCCAGATGTTGGTGAGAGCATCAATCGATGGACCGAACTTGCTTTTCACTCAAAAAGTCGCAACCTCAGCGAAGACTTCCGTCAAGGTCGACGG